ACACACACACACACACACACACAAACAAACAAGCACACTCACACTCACACAAACAAGCACGCACAAGCCACACATCCTCAGAACAAGCACAGACATAGTGTTTAGTCTCTTGCTGAGCATGCTGCACCATCACCTCAAACAGTCACTTTGTATCGCTACTCCGCTGGGACGATGACATCATTGCATGGTGTCCACTCCCTCCCTCCCTCCTGAGCTCGCTTCCTCCCTCCCTCGCTCCATCCCTGCTCAGTCTGCACACATTGAAGTCCCTGTTAAAGGGCAGAGTTTTGCTACCACTCTCAGCACAGCAGCGCACATTTACTGCTTCCATATAAATACCAACACACGCACATACATTAAAGTGTAGACCATCCCCATGCGTAAACAGGACATAGATGCGGTACACAAATGGCCGAATGCACGACACAAGTAAACAAACAAACGGGGTAGATGACACCATATCGTAAACCTTTTGGATTGGGGCCAAGCTGCTGTAAAGGCCACATAAACACTTTATCCTTCTCTGTGGCTCTGTAAAGTAGTCTGCAAGACAATCTATTAATGCTTCCACAGAGAGATGGGAAGTTCAAAGAAAAATGTGAATTTAGTTTTTTATGTGCGTCTCAGTGTGGAAAAAACGTGCTGCACACTGATCAGCCACATCATCAAAATCTTTTACTGGTTTTAATGTTGTGGCAGATCAGTGTATCTCCATGGTTTTTAAAGAGTACATTTTATTGCTTCAGTGATGTTCAACGGCTTCATTGCTTGATGAAGTCCAAAATACACGGGTCCATCCCAACATTGAAGAAGGTTTTAAAAAAGCAGTTGATCTTGCTGCTGATGGTCCGGATCCCCTCTAAAATTAAATGGGCTCTTTCTTGACTCATATCGCATCTTTCCACCAAGTCACGTGGTAATCCGTGTTTTTTCGTAAACTTTCTCATAAGCAAACCAACTAAAACAACAGACATATGGACAGGATGGAAAACACAACCATCCCTTTTGGGTAAATATTGTGTACCCCCAATTTTGTCAATGAGAATAAAAACAGATTTTTGCAATGTTTTTATGTTAAAACTATATTTTAGTCTCATCTTCTGTGTCAATTAGTGTCCAATGATGTCCGCCATCTTGTCTTAGTCATAGAAAAAAAAGGTTGTTGATGTACAAACAGTATTTAGTCACAAGTTTCTTTCAAAAGCAGAATCATGAAAACAAAAGCGTACATTCTACAAACTCTATCAGAATAGTTCTCCGCTGAGTCTGCCCAGACTTCTAATTGCATTAGATTTTGACTGACAGTGCACTAGGTGGCTATTCATCAATGTCAGCTCATTTAGTGATAAATTATGCTTTTCAGAGAGGGAGAGGCGGGAAAATACGGAGAAAGTGGGTTGAAAGGGGGACGGGAAAGAAAAAGTCTGGCTGTGCCAAAAAAAGGGTTTTGCCACAAGGTTTGAGGGTTCGCCACAAATGATGACTGGCAGTTCAAAGGTACTTAGAGGACCCGTTATTCATGAATATAGTTTTTGCATCCATTCAATTCACTTGGAGATATCAGGTCAGTTTTGCTGGATTGATATCAAATTTGCATTTTGCAGTTAATTCAAATGACTGATGCTTCCCACAATTTTATAAACATCAGTATATGCTGTAAAATGCAATTACATAATTGTGTCATTTTCTTTATAGGATGGCGACATATCAAATATTTTTTGATGTCTTATTTTGTGTTCCATGACCTTTGCTCTTCTAAATTGCCCATGTGGCTTTAATTTTGCAAACGCACTGGATTGCAGCATTTCGCACAGCGACTTTCTTCGTGTAATTTACCCCACGTTTTTGGAAACGATAAGTTGTTTGCAGATGCTATGATAGGTTCCTTTGTGCGCTGATCAAAATGATGGACTACATCATTCAAACCTCACACTACATATTCATTCGGATGAAGCAACGGAAACCGAGATGCCAAAATCTGCTCCCCGAGTTTAAAATCGGCCGCGTAAAGTCATCGAGGAAGTAAATCACCGTGCTCAGACAATGCACCACTGGTTAAACAGATGATGATGATGATGATGCAAACTCGCTGTGCAGACTGAGTTATGGTTATAATTACCATACCAGGAGTGCTTTTCTTTTACTAGCATGTTGGTCCAAAGTCAAGTCTTTTATCTCCGACAAATGAAATGATTCTCTGGAAAAATATTTCACTGGTTGCATATCCCTCCAGGGGCAGTGGAGGTCGGAACTGTTGTTCTAACATCAACTTTTCTTTATGCTGAGAGTAGAACGCACCACCCTGAAGCTGGTATTGTTGCCAACTACAGAATCTGGTGGTAGACGACACTATGCTTTTACTCTGTGATGATTAAACTGTGACTGCAGGACAGAAGTGAACAAATAGGACAATACAGATATGGAAAAAAACACATTATAGGAGAAATCTAATAAAGGAAAAGTGCTGTATAAATCAAAAGGTCAACAGCATAGGGATCTGCATCTCTCCTTCATCAAAAGTTTCTCAGCAAAAATTTTAAGAAGTTACGACACGCAATACTTGATATATTTATTTTGTTCTTTTTGCAGCCACACAAAGTCACCAACCTCCACACCAAGGTTGAAAAGTGCAGCGTGAAGCACGATCTTGTCTCCTTTCATTAGCCAATTACATTTTTGTTTTCGGTGATGTCAAAGTGGTTCTGGGAATGCCACCTTCTCCGAGGCTGCAGCGGTATCTTCAGAACAAATCTGCTTTTCCCTCACTTGCTTGTATATATCTGTTTTATTGCCGCCTGTTTTTTCTATCTCTCTGTCTCTCTCTGGGAAGCGGTGAGGAAACACTGAGTGCTGGCACTGAAAGGCCGGAGACAGGATTTTATGTGCATGTTCTGTGGACACTGAAACGCTGGTTCCTCAATCTCTCTTTCTGTGCGTTTGCCCATTGAGAAACTTTCAAACTCTGATTCCACATTTCATTTCATCCATCATGGTAGATGTGGATGTCCTCATCGATTCATGGTTTTTCTGGGGGAGATGCAAGTTGGGCACTTTATTAGCATTAGCTTCCTTTGACCTTTAACAAGCCTGAGAGCTGGCGTCGGTCAGGAAGAGCTGCTCTGCTGCTATGAGTCTAATGCAAAGGACAATTATCATTATGGTTATTAATTATGAATGATTTTGTAAGTAAAGTTTCAATTTAAATAAACTTAAGGAACACATCCCTGGCTTACATTCCCAACTGCCCAGACAGGAAGTAGAAAGCTGCACAGACTGTGTGTCTGGTCCATATTCAGGAAAGTGCTGACCATCATGTGGTCATATGGCTAATAGCAAATAGAATAGGATAGAATATAATAGAAAGGCTTTTTTCATTGTACCATGAAAGCAGTACAATAAAATCCAAGACACAAAACAAATACACATGATGCTTCATGTCCTGGTTTCAAACGCTGGCTCGGCTGGGATTGGCTCCAGCCCCCCCGGCGACCCTCAAAAGGATACACGGTATAGATATTGGAAGAACATTAGAGATTGGTGTTTTCATCACTGATTTCATTTGGTAAATGTCAAATACTTGTCAACACCAGTCAGAGTTGAGCAGAATGCAAATCAGAACCAGAGGACAAGGTTGTTTCTGATGTTGCAAGGATGCTAATTAATGCAAATGAAATCTGATCAAACTATTGATTAGTCCTGATGACGCATGCAGCTGTTTGAGAGATATATTTTTTTAAAACTTTAAACTTGTTATTTAGTTGAGAGTATTTAATACCAAATATTGTTTTTCAGACCAGATCGGGCTATTTGTGAAAGCTTCTTTCTACCTCCTCACCCCGTGAGCAGAGGGGTTATGGAGGGGCATCAAGCCTATTGTGTCATGAAGGTGCCACATGCAGCAGATAACACCTGCCCTGGTCTTCACCCTTTTAAGCCTATAAGCCAAACTTGGGTGAATGCTGTGAATTGTAATCCTGTTTTTTTTTAGAGCACACACACAGGAGCTCTGAAACATTTTCATCCTGTTGCTCCTCAAGTTGCTGACTTAGTGGATGCTGAGTTAGGGTTTGATTCTCTGGACGAGCATGTGAATGCAAATGTTAGCGCGTTGCTCTGCAGTGAAGAGCGGTACAACAACCTTTACGGTCGACCGCGGCGCTCCGTGTCTGCTGATAGAAAGCATGTGTACATTTTCATAAATTTGCATTCACACTTTTATAATTCTGCCCCTGAAAACGAAAAACTCTCACATGGTGATTTGTAACACAAGCAGGTTAGAATTTCACTCTGTTCAAGCAAATGTGGTTATCATTTAAAAAGGAAAAATAAATTAAAAACCCTCCCCGAATTGTATCTGCGTAGAAACATGCTTCTGAGTACTGTTAGATTCTCAGTATCACCGCGCCGCATGTTCCTGCTCCGAACACATTCTTGCCAGCAAATATATTCTCGGCAAAATAAAACCTCTCTTTTTCTAAGCAAAGCAAATTCTTTTCCTCCAAAACAGACCCAAAAGAGCTTTTTCCATGAGGAGTAGACAATAATAAATTATACTTAATTCCTCAGTATTACAGCAATAAATCTTCCTATCAATGTATGGCTTACTGTACAGTTCTAAACTGTACTGCTGTATATTTTGTATGTGCTTTATGCGTATATGTGCCATCTGAGCTGAGGCAAACCCCTCAGTTGATGGAAGAGACCGTCAGTCTGTCGGTTCATTTGTCCGCCTGGCTCGAATTAGGCAGAGTAGCCAAAGGTTGTTAAAGTAGCTACTAGAAGAAAAATAGTCAGCTGTAAATTTTTTAAAGGAAGGAAAATTCCCACACATTCACACATGTGATAATGCACAAAGGCACACGATCCTATATGCACCTACACACTTGGGGGTGCGTTGATTAAAATGGCTCATGGCACATGTCCGTAAAAGTAAAAAGTATTTGTATAGGGATGCACCATTTTCAGATTGGGAAAAATGTGAAACTAACTTATTTAACATTCCTTCTACACGCATATTTACAGTCGGCATATTAACACCAAATTGATCTTTCCACATTTCTTCCATTCAGACATTGTTCACAGCCTCTCGTCGTGCCTGACTCATTCAACTCTACAACACAGTTATTTTTCTGCAGGCGCTCGCATGCGATGCATATGTTACTTTGTTGGATTTCCAAATATGAAAGGAGCTTATTTATTTTGAGGGAACCTGATACTGTTATGCAGTATCACATAATGAGAAGAAGATGAAAGATAGAAAGAGGAGGGAGAGACTTTTATGAAGCCATAGATATGTAATGCTAACTGACTTCTGCTTGTGTGGCCTTAAAATTGGCCACTCTTGGGAAAAAAAAAATATTTGGGTAATTAAAGTGAACTGAAACAGGAAGAGTTGAATGTGTTTCAGGGTGAAAACACAGGTTTCCCCCTTTTTTTGGGAAAAGACAGAAATGATTGAGCTCTCACATGCTTTTGTTGTGAGATTTCTTGGCTTTCAATGTAAGCATTCCCCTCGTGTGACATGTTGCTGTTTAATGGATGAGAATGAAAACAGTTGAGGTTATGATGCAGTGGCTTCCCATTAGAGTCTCATCTCAAATATCACACATCATAGCACGGACCAAATAATTTACAGGAATCAGAGCTATTTCTAATCGGAATTGAACCTCAGATCGGGTTCTTTTTTTCTGCTGGAAGAAAAGCCAAGAACAAGAAATTGTCATTTTGCTTTTTTTCTTCTTTTTAGGAATTCATGTTATGATAATAACAAAATTAAATAGGAAAAGCAGAGTTCATACAGCAAGTGAAATAACATGAGATTAAAGTTAGAAAAGTGAATGCCAACTAATGTTGTGTCCTTAAAGGAGACATTTGATGCTTTTCTTTCATCTACTGTGTTATATGTTTTTTTTTGTGGGGTATTTAAAAGTTCTGCAAAGTTAAAGAGCCCAAAGTGTGCAGTAACACCTCGTCTGTGTCCCACTGATACTTCCACATAGCTGTGAAGTCATGTGACATTATGATGCCCACACTTGCATAATGTAATCTTAGCAGTTACTTTGATGGCCCCCTAAAATCAAGTGTTTTAGACAGAGGGTGGATAATAATTATATGTATAATAATAATATGTCTCCTCTAAATGCTATATTAAAAGTTTATCTTCTCATCAATGTGTTTCAATGGTTACATATCAACACACACAAAATGTATACGAAATATGAATACAGCCCTGGCAGATCTCAGTCTAATCTCTGGCCAGGTCGTACCTCCTTCAGCACTAACCTGAATGGCTGCTGTTTCTAACGGAGGCTTATTCTCTGTAATAGAGCCATAATGGGAAATAAAGGAATGTTAAACTGTCATATTAAGTCTTATATCATGCCATAGACTTGAGCTTGTCTTCATTAGTCATATTAGAGTGGTGATGCCACTGGTGGGTTTGACTCCTGGCCTTGTCTGGGAGGATTTTTGCATGTTCTCTCCATGTGTGGATTTCCTCTGGCTACTCCAGTTTCCTCCCACATTCCAACAACATGTAAGGACCCAATCACACAGGACGTGCTTTGTAGACTCGAATATGTAAGGCGACAGCCAGTGGCTAGCAGCAATGGGCGTCATTCACAAACAGTGCGTACGCACAAATCTGTGCTTAGACTGTGCATACGAATGTTTGATGCACAAATGTCATCAATATGTCTCAGACCATAGTACACACAAATGATGAAGGCCTGGCTTTTAACTAAATGCATAGTATATTCAACTCAGTATATTTGAATAAAAATAGTACATTGACAGATATAATTTGATTTACTAATGCATTGAATAACTGTGAAACTGACATCGTTTAATCATCTCTATTAAAACCTGCTGAATACATATTTATGTTCTTGGATAAATGAGGCGTTGCTTCTTCTGCAACAATCAAGTAAATCACTGCATTGCTTCATAATCTGTGGGAAGAACTTCTCCTCTGTCTGCAGGAGTTTGTGTGTGTGTCTGCTCGTCTCTAACCCTCTTCTCACACACTGATAATCACATGTATGTTTTTATTAATCGATGATGACGGATCATGACTCGTTCCGGTCACTTTAACCCTGATGTCCTGACTGCACGTCACGCTACGTCTCGTGTTGCGTCTTGTGTCTAAACATGTGTCTCATAAACTCTGGAGCAAATCAAACAAACACAAAGTAAACACCAGTTCTGTGTGTCCTAATAACTTGTGATCAGTGCTGGTGTTTATTGTTAAACTGTAAAGTGAGCGGAGATCAGAGGGGGAGTGAAGAGGAAGCAGACTCCATATATGGAAGACCAGACCTATAATGAGCGTCCATTCAAGAATGCATTCATCATATTCAGTACAAATATTCACTTTGAGGATTTACTCACTTGATTTTAGCCAAAGGTCAGGGTCACAAATTATGTGTCTGTTTTTCTTGGGCGTGATTTCTTAAAATCGGCTTGAGGGAATATCTGCAAAATTGGTACAAATATTCAATTGGACCCAAAGATGACCTGAATAGAATTTGGTGGTAATAGGTCAAGGTCATTGTGACCTCACAAAGCACGCTTTTTTGCTTGTGAATGCAAAATCTCCAGAACAAGGGAATTATTTCACTTTTGGATTAAACATGAACTTCATGAAGCATGTTGAACGTGATATCTTAAGATCGGTAAAACAATTTCTGTCGTCAGGCCACTGAAGAGTAACTGCTGTCAATCACAAAGCAGAGAGGCACAGGACATGAGCTACCTCAATGTGAACTGTGAAGTTTTATAAAGTTGTTTCTTTTCACCCCATTTCCTTTGTTTCCCACCCAACAGCAAAACTGCGTAATGTGGCATTACCTTATAGCAATAATTTTAGGTTGGGTATAACATGTCCAACATGTCCACTCACCCATGAATATTTCCACGTCTTAGTATCATGACTACACAGAAAAGAGGACAAATCCTCAATGAGTGGTATTCCAGCTGCACAAGATTCCCTGTATTTCTGTGTTTCTCCAAATCTGTTTTGTATTAGTTGGGATTGAGCAGTTGTTAGATATCAGCTGTCTGAGTGCCATGACTCGACCTTACACTTGCCATCAGCAGTTACTTGAGCTGCTGTGTAGCCTGTGAGGCTTTCAGACACACAGTAAGCCAAGCTTGGTTAGGTTCCACGCTGATTACACACTTGTCCGAGTGTGTGCTGAATCCTCATTTTTTAGGGTAAACATCTATGTGTGAGAGATTAATCTGTCCTGTGTGAGGATGGATGCTTATATCAATGCATTATGTTTACAGCTTGATTCAGAATCCATTTATCTGTCTCTGTCTGTCACTCACTTAATATCTGCTGTTATTTTCCAGTCGGACTCTTCAGTGACTATAACCTGTGCAAATGGGAAGTGGAACAAACAGGTCTCATGTGAGCCAGTGGACTGTGGCGTGCCTGACAAATATCACGTTCATCCAGCCCATTTCGACTTCCCCGAGGGCACAACCTATGGCAAGAGGATCACCTTTAAGTGTAGAGAACCTGCCCAGCTTGTAGGTGAGATGCACATTGGAGCGTGCACGTGTTTGTGTGTGGGGGGGGCTTTATCCAAGAGCATGGTCTTTCAGTTTGAACATGCACTCAATATATACTCTTTACATTACAAAACGGATTTCATATTCTATGTTTTATATTCAGTTTTTTTATTCTTTTAATTATCCGTTTCAAATTTGCCGACCAAGCGGCATTGTATGTTTTATTTTCACGTGCCCCCTTTGCTCTTATTCCTCTCAGGAACAAACAACACTCTTACCTGCCTAGAGGACGGTCTGTGGTCCTTCCCGGAGGCCCTCTGTGAGCTCCGCTGCCCAGCCCCCCCTCCTGTACCGAACGCTGTGCTGCAAACCAAGCGCTGCAATGAGACAGGCCTCAAAGTGGGCACCCTCTGCAAGTACAAGTGCAAGCCAGGCTACCACGTCACCAACAAACCTAAGAGGTAAAGAAAGATTTCGTTGTTCCACCATCAGAATGTTCCCAGTTGAAGTTAGGGGCTGAATTACGGTTCTTCCCCTTCAGGCGTGCATTTAAGCGTCAGTGCACCGAGGACGGCAGCTGGCTAGAGGGGGCGTGCGAGCCCGTTACTTGTGACCCCCCGCCTCCGATCTTCCACGGATCTTATCACTGCACCGATGGCTTCCACTTCGACAGTGTCTGCAGACTCAACTGCACTGACCCTGCCGGTAATAGCGCTATCGCCGCCACAGGAGGCTCTGCCCATACGGTGAGGCTGCTACACGGTCCATGCAAGCAGGTCTGTCCATCTCTTTCCTCTCTTTCTATTCTTGCTTTACCTTTGTATTTGTCCTCTTTTTCTCATGTGTATAAAAAGCAGACTTTCTCTCTTTTTCTCTCTTTTTCGTATTCCTTATGAATTTAATCCATTAAAAAAAAATTTGAGAAATTTAGCTCCAAGACCATCCACAATGCAGAATCAATAGTGTTTGTTTAAATCATATCAGACATATTATTATTAAACATTTATCTGTCACATACCATAAAATATACATATGATAGCTAAAGATAAGATAAAAAATTAAGGAATCAATAAGTAAAAATCTATTTTTACACAAATACACTCTCGTTATATCTGATTCTTCTGACACTGCCCTCACTGTCTGAAGACTCGTCTCTCTCTGTCTGTTTCTCTCCCTGTCTCCCTCAGCCCTACTCAATTTGACGCCATGCTAATTAGATTGCTATTGATTTGCAGAATAGTCCTGCTCCCACAGACTTTTGAAATGTATACACCTTTTAATCTGTTCTGCCTTTCAGGCGTTGTGGGTTAGATGCCTGATATAAATTGGATTGTATTTCCCCTGTTTGCAACGGGATGCCATCTCAGTGTCCTTGGCCTGCCAGTGTTTGTGTGTCAGTTTGTGTGTGTGTGTGTAATTGTTTGTCTATCAATATGTTATTTTCAGGGAGCAGCATCCAATGTAATCCGCTGTAGGAAGGATGGAAACTGGACAGGGTCGTTCCGCCTGTGCCCACACAGCAAAGGCCAATGTTCTTTACCTCAAAACCTCCATTATAGCCTTCAGTACTCATGCAAGCGAGGACACGGCATAGGTGTGTACACACAACCTTACTGTTATGTAATGACAATTAAGTTTTATTACTGTTGATGTTTTATTGTTTGTGTTACACACAGCTTTTGTTGAGTCTGCTCTTATTCTTCATTGTTCACATCACTCATTCCTTTTCACTTTGCACTGTTTACAGTCAAGTGTTTTTAATGAAAGGGGACAAAATGTCTGAACCACAGTTACATAAATAATGTATTAATTTGAAAACGAATGGAGGAGACAGGTATGGACATGTCCTGAGAAATGTGTTTGACTCAGCTGTACTTTTATTGCTCTCGTCTCCTTCTTTGTCACACGTTCACTCAGGTGAGGAGTGTGAGCTGAGCTGCCGAGAGAGTAACAACGACGTGGTGATCCTCCCTAGCAACATGACGGTCGACAGCGTGCTCAAAGAGCACTGGAGGAACCCACACAAAGTCAAGGTGCGTTTTGCAAGTGTGTTTGTGTCGGCCTCACAGTGCTGACAGACGCACTTCACAAAGTTCTGCGATCCACATCTCTCCTGTACAGAATTTCACGTATACTGTCTACATCCTGGGTCTTTTTGTGCCCGGTGCCATGCCAATGTTTGTTATAGCAGCATGGCAACCCTTCAAACATTTGTAATTTCTATTTTTGATTCGAAGAGTGGAAACATGCCGCTGACCTTTTGCATCCCGTGGAATGTGGTACATTTCAGTGAACTACTTGACAATGATAATACGCTGAAAAGCATCTTTGGGATGGATGGCTTGTGCACTGACACAAAATTAATCGTAACATTTATATGATTATATAAGAATCAGATTTTTGTAATTTAAAGGTGGTGAAAAGCAACACACACACACACAAATCCAAATTTGTAATTGGATGTAAAACTGTAATTTTCTGAAATCAACCTTTTGAAGCCCACTGGCAGACAGGAAAACATGAAGGTTAAAGGTTAAGATGATGGTGGTCACCATGTCAATCACACAAGAGGTGAGGGGGAATAGGGTGTGTGTTTGTAGAAGGTACAAAGTACTGAACTACACCTATTCCTCTGACACCCCCCTTAACTTGATTATGCCACGACGTGCAATTTTTCATCAGCTCAGCACCAAAATCGCATCAAGTTTTGTAACCAGAGAAGAAGAAAAGGGAACACATTGTATTTTTCACAGTATTTTTTTCCCTCCCCCCCCCCTACAACTCCTTTTTGTTTTTGTTTCAGTCACCCTGAGTCAGCAGCTTTTTTGTGGTGGATGCTGGGAGAGGGGCGGGTTGGGGGCCACGTGGCAACGGAATGATCTGTTTTTCATGGATTTGTGAAATTGATAAGATTTGTGCTCAGTTGCAATTCGAGACCCGAGGCAATGCTATTGGGGTTATTGTAGCATGAAAGAAGTCGGAGAAGAGAGGATGGCGAGTGGGGTCAGCGTTCCAGAGGGCTGAGGAGGCAGGAGAGGGTTTGTAGCATGTGCCCTCTGCTAATGCAGCTTTTCTTGTAAATGCAGTAATTTTTAGGACATAAAATTTGTATTTAGACTAATTTTAAAGACCAAATTGAATGTGCTACCAACCACAAAATAGATGCAACAAGAACTGCAATGAATGTCTAAAGGCTGAGCAGAACAGATGGCTGATATGTATCAAGAAGATAACATAATGATATGCAGAAACAAGAATGGGAGAATGTTGTCGTGATGGAAAAGAGTTCATTCATGACAGCTGTAGTCTGAGCAGGAGTGGATTTAGTACACGTCGTAATACACTTCTAACTTCCCCTCTAGGATGGGATTCTTCATACTGTATCTTATAGAGAAAGCATGACCTGATGTGCACTTTCTAGTTCTACTTTGCTGAGTTGGAGGTTAATGTTGCCCACCTTTATAAGTGATGTTGATTTATTGCCTTTAAACTAGTTGTATTTCACTTCTTAGAGTGACCCACTTAGAATTCTCTTGTGCTTTTTCTACCTACACCTCCTCTTCGTTTTTTTTCAATCTAATGATTCTGCACCCCCTGGCACCCCCCCCCCCTTTATCAGCAAAATTACCCTTTTGGGCTCACTGCAGAATTTGTCATTTTCTATATGACAAAACTTCATCTGTGGCGGCGCTGAGATAGGGATCTATTTTTATGTGGTATCAGCGCCCCGGGGAGGCTTCAGAGGGTGAGGATCCCATGCGTAGTGAGGGGTGAAGCCAGGCCACAATCATGGATTATCATGATTTACGGCCTTGCTGGGAGAGGGAGAGGAGAGAAAAAAAAGAGTGAGAGAGAGAGAGAAAATGAGGAGGGGAAGAGAAGGAGTTTCTGGGTGACATCATCATAGCAGAACAGTAGAAAGAGAATGAAAAGTAGAGTAGTTGCAAAAAGTTTCATCTCCGCGACAAAATAATGCACATGATCCTCTATCCAGCCGTCATGGCCCTCACTACTGAACACACGTGCACACACACAGCACATTCATAGCATCTTGCTGTTACTTCTGCACCTCTATGTTGTCCTTGGATGCTATGTTGTTCTCTCTCTCTACCTTCAACCCTATCTTTTTTTCTTCTTTTTTTTTTTTGCATTGATTTGCTGACTGCACTGAAATGAAAAATACCTTAGTTTGCAGCAATAAAGGCAAATTTGTGAGATATTTGGACACAGGGGGTCTGAGAGAGGAACCATCTGAGGTCAGCCAGTCCCTTGGCACATTTGATCATGCACACTACAATCCAAGTCTGGAGATGCAATTATGCTGTAAACAAAACCTTGCTGCACCCTCGCTAAAGTAGACTCAAATATATATATAGACCTACCCCTACACCCTTTTAGAAGAAGTGGTCATAGAGCTCGGAGATACATGCAAAGTCATCTTACAGAATGCATTATCATGTACCTACATAGTATTTGCCCATATGAGCACATTTCTTCACAGTGCTGCTTCCTTCCCCTGAGCACAAATGCTTTCTGTTGCGTTACAATGAAAAGCGCAGTAGGAGAACAGGATGGGATTCCACACATTCTGCAAAGATATTTGAGAGCACGGAGCTCCTTACCTTCATCTTTCTATCTCTCTCTCTCTCTCTCTCTCCTAGCTCTCAACTCTTTGCCCACCTGGGGCAACGACTTAGGTATCCAAACACATTTTTTATCAAGTTATATCTTGTCAAAATCAATTTATACAGCTTTTCTCAGAGGTGGAGAAAGGTCAGTGTAAATCAAAGAAGGCTTCCCAATGAAAGTGACCATGTGTAGCTCATGAGCCCTGTTCAGAACTTCTATCTCACCTTCTTAGGTGTGTGCGTGTGTGGCTAGAATGTGTCCAGCGATTCTTGTTAGGGTTATGTGAGCTGAAATGCAGGTATATAGAAGAAGGCAAAACTATTCAAAACTGCATGTAAGGGAAAAAGGATTTTGAAAGAGTCAGTGTTCATTTCATTAACTCCACCTCATTTTGTCTCATTTTGCAGAGCATAGTCTGTACAATGGGAATGAAGTGGTATCCACACCCAGAGTTGCTTCACTGTATCAAAGGATGTGAGGTAAGCACTCAAACTGATTTATATTGTCTTCTTTGTGTTTGTGTAATCTCATCCGTCACACACAACTTTAATACTTAAATTCTTCCACCCTTCTTGATCTTAAATTCAAAAAGCGTGGATGCAAAAAGATTTACTCACTGTGGCCAGTGGATTGGCTGATGCTTTACAAATGAATCACTCAGAAAAATGGGTACGAATATCTGGAGTTAGAGATCTAGCATAGTTTCAGGGAGAGCTAAGAATTCAGTTCCAAGTTTTTTTCCTGCAGGTTATTTAGAATTAAAAAATCCAGAGGACACACCTACATGTGATGCACAGATGGTCTGTTCGCCACTTTAAATGCTGTTGCTATATAAGGTGATGTGGCTCATTGAATTGCTCTAGTGCATGGTCAATGGTCTGTGCTTGGCCTGTGCTGATTGCAGCTTTTGAGCAATGGAGCCACGGCAACTAAAGACCAGTTGCAGGACCTGAAGCCTCGCCAACACTGCTGCACAAAGAGCTGTTCACCTGATTATTCAAAATTCAGCGAAGCTCGACTAACTTGCTGTAATGTGACATAATTTGACTGATTTATTACCCATTAGGAAAACCTGTACAGCTGTGATCACGTGCTAAAATTGTCTTTCCTCCAGATCGACATTGTCTGATCAGTTTAGGCCAAGTGGATATCCTGATAATTAACCAATGTGGAGGGTGGGGCCAACCCAATAAATCAACTTATTGGAGTGTTTTGTGCTGTGGGTAGTTTATAGTGTCCTCACTTTGAATTACGGGTCTGGCCCACTAAAGGGGCTAAGAAGGACACATTGAAAGATGAGGGAAATTTTATGTATCAAGACCTCTAAAAGGTCCCAAAAAGCTGAAGAGGAAACAACTACTAATCTTTTAACACCTTTTAACTATTATCAGCCATTAGGGAGGCAATATAAAAGGTGGCATTGTTGTAGTCTCACACTTTGTCTCTCTGGTGTAGCCATTCATGGGAGACAACTACTGTGATTCGGTCAACAACAGAGCCTTCTGCAACTACGACGGAGGAGACTGCTGCCAATCCACTGTCAAGACTAAGAAGGTTAGTTGCACGCTTGTACCGCGGACCCAAACTCACCTTTCAGACTAATAGTTGATGTTGGTCCTGGTCAGTCAGCGTTTGTCCCCCAATTCTGGAATCATGTCCCACTTGACATTTTTAAATAACGATTTCTCCTAACAAAAGTTAAGTACAATGGAACATCAGAATATTATATCGAAGACTGTTTTATTTCACCTCTTGGAACGTCTCTAAACAGATTCTTCCTTCCTTTGCTTTGTGTCCAACCTCATATCACCCGTAGACAGATCACCGGATCCACGTCCAAGAGTTTTCAGCATTCTGTTTCCTATTGTGTAAAATGTCTAAATATATCTTTGTGCGCTTGTATTTATACTAATACCCCAAATCCACACATAATTGATTTATCACAGAGTTAGGGTCATGACTATATGAACTTTGAATAATATACTTGTTTGTCTTCACTGCGTCTCTTTCTGTGTGTCAGCCGTGAATCATTTGTGTTGTATTTCAGCATTAAGATGTGTGTTTCAAAAAAGTTTGGTCATCGCTTTGGTACGACGTCTTAATTCCAGGAGATGCTTCGTCTGGCTCCTTCCATTCTGCTGCTGGCATGAGATCTGATTGGAAGTGAATTGTAGCTTCTGTTGCTGCAGCATCTGCTCTTCTGGCTTCCTCCATGTGCAGCTTTGACCTGATCACTGATACATCAGCAGTTTTCACAAATTACTTGATGTCTGGGAAATTTAGCTCAAAGGAATCCAGACATATGAGGGCGATGGACTTATTTTCATATGACTGTACGTACAAAACAACAAAAACAGATTATAGTGGAAAGACATCCACAGGTCCATGACTTGTTTTTGTCCCATATTCTTAACTTCAGTATTAGATTTACAGTATTGAATCCTGTGACCAATAGCAGCAGGGAAGTCGGGAAGCAACCCGTTGGGAAGTGACCTCACCGCTGAAGTGGTTTCACTGCTGTTGATTGATGCTATCTCATCTCTACATCTTCTGGCCCCGGTCCAGAGCAGGGGTTCAGCCAGAACTTACATAACTCACTTTTAGTGAGAGACCCTGATGGGAGGGGAGACTCTATTGAATTACTGCAGCAACAAGAGGTCGAGCTGGGCGAGAGGAGGGCATGCGATGGGTCTTGTTAGAGTTAGGGATTGTTATGTTGTAGATCAAACAGGGGTAAGGCCTGAATAATGTTTATCCAGAGATCTCGGGTTCGAAAATCAAATTTTGACATTTTGGACTAATTCCAGAAATGAGTTATAGCTAGTTGTAATTCAATGGTAATATTATATTGCATGTTTTGTATTTACAATATACGTACATCTGTTCTGGAGAAAAATAATGAACCAAAAAGGAGAGATTCATTTCCTCCACCAAGGAGGTTATGTTTTCACCCGTCTGGTTATTTGTTTTTAAGCAAGATTACACAAATAACCATTGGACAGATAGAAGGTAGAAGGATGTGGATTGTGTCAGGAAAGAAATCATTACATCTTGGTAATCTGGATCAGGGGGTGGTTCAAGGATTTTTTTTCTCTCTCATTTTTTACAAATTTCCCAATGAATAATTACTGGATCTTGATGAAAGAAAAAAAAAAACAGGAACATTTAGGGAACTGATATCTATTAGTGTGTGAAATTTGGTGCAGCTTGGTGAAATTCAAGGGGATTGTTGAGCTTTGGTGAAGGCATGTGCTCTACTGAGTTCCATTCTAGTATTTTGTCTTTTACTTTTTCATCTGTAGACTAAGAACTTTTTTTTCACACATCCAACAAAACCAATTCATTATAAATCCTATTTACATAAGCTAGTAATGTCAGATACTTGGAATAACCCACCTTAGCTTCCCTGCTAAGTATTTTAACTTGTCGAATGAACATCCAAACAATTATTCAATCATAGAAAACTGCTAACTTCACTTTTCAGGCTACAGCCAATTATCTGTTCAGCTGTTGCACATTACAATTTCACTTAGGTGCATTCAGAAACGAGCGCGGTCTTTACACCTCCACACCACTGCTCTAAAAACCCGTCTGCCCACGGCTTGTAAGCTACAGTTAAAGTTTATTTACTTTGTCTCGTGTTGCCCTGCTGGGGATCAGCCTGCCAGCTGCTGTCAATCTAATACGGACACATGGAGGAAAATGAGTATTTCTGATAATTCCCCAAATAACGTTTTTCTGCCTTTAAAGTATGGAAAAGTGTTGATAATACGTTTAGAATAACCAACTTTATTTGTGATCACAAGAACCCCAGACTGCTTGTCCAATTCCTAATTGAAGGCATGTTTCCCTGGCATTATTCAAAGAAAACATTCTGGCTGGAGTTTTCCACTTGTAGCTCCCCATGAAAGTGCTCAGAAAGATACGAAAAATCTATTCTGAAATAACCAATTATGATGTTATTTATCGGCTGCCAGCAGCACAGGGTGAGGAAGGTTGCTATGGGTGAACAACAAAAAGGAAACACGAATGGAGCTGATATGTGAAATTGATATGGGAACAGAGGAGAGCCAGATGTTTGATACAATTCCTGTTGTTTGTTAGCCCAATGCCTAATTGATGCTGCTTACTTGCATCCACATGTTTCTCGGTTCTTTGGCTAGAACGTATTTGCATGAACCTCAAAACAAAACCTCAATGTCAGTTTTGAATTATTAGCCAAAAACCTTCCTGACGACTTTATCTTCTTGCTTAATCGTATTACTTTGACATTTTTTATCCACATTTATTTTCCCCCTGTATTTATCATCGTTTTTTGGTACTTGGCATTTAGATGTCATTGTTTATTCCTCTTGGGCACTGCTTCTATAGTCATCCCTATTTAATTAACTCTGTCAAAACAGAAACAGGATATTTTGCACCTGATTCTGATTTCTCACCAAACTAAATACATGCGTGGCAGACAGCGAAGGACGGAGATGCATGAAAAAAACTCTTCAAAAACAAAAGAAAAAGACACAATATGTGACAAAAGGAATCTGTAACTCATTTATGACGGTCCTCCTCAGAGCTGCTGAGTAATTCACTTGCTGGGTGACAAAGATGTGCAGTGTTTTCCTCTTTAGCGGGAAATTGATGTTCTTTTCCAGACCACAAGTGAAGAGTTTGTCCCAACTTGTTGGCGAACACAGTTTTTGTTGTCATAGATTTTGTTGTGTGTGTCCCAGTGGAGGCCTTTTGATGTCAGCTATGAACTATCTGTATTTATTGCCGTTTTATACACAGAAAATCTTCCCAGAAAGATTCTGTTCTCACTCTGTCTTTTAATCGTTTTTTCTTAAGTAAATCAAAAATAAGTTTATTGAAAGTTTAAATAATAAATTATGTTACTTCCCTGGGCTTGGTTTATAGTTATTTATCACCTCTAGCTTAAGATGGTACTTCCTTTTAGATCTGAAGAATATAAGTGTCACAAATCAGACTTCCTAAAATACCATTAAAATATTGTCTGCAGCAATGTTCAAAGCAGTTTTTTTTTTAAATGTTCATCAATCACGCGGGTAGAGTTCGTTATAGGGATTTGTTCCCATGATTCAATCATAGAGTCATTGAGTGCATGACCTGGAGCTCCAACTGTGTCAGCCCCCTCGATTAACACTCAACCGGACGTTCTGTCACTTTGACAAATGCACCAAACTCCATTTATAATTCTTGATATTTTAAAAGTGGCCTAGTTACATACGAGAGATGAACGCTAGTTACCAATGCCTTTTATGTCTTTTAACTGATATACAGTTTGGCAGTTTTAGTGTTCACTTGTACAATATTAACAAACCTGGAAATGAAATGATCTGACTATCATGTTTTGTCTGTGTAGCCAAAGCTTGGATGCTTATTGTTCTGTATAGTATAAACTAGAAATATTAGAAATACATCACTGAGGCAAATAGTAACAATACATGACAACTGTCTTCATTACAATAAACAGGGTGACTGTAGTTTACTTAGTAGTTTTTATTTCCAGTTAATAGAGACCTGCACAATAAAAATCAATGAAGTAATCTGTTCAAGTATAGGAGTGTATCATCGACATACGCGTGCACTCACATGGTTAAGTTGTGGGTTATTTAAAGATTTTGCAACCACTTTTTCTGCAGATGTTTACATGCTTCAGTCAGCTATAACATGAGAAAACATTAGGCTGACTTTATGAATAGTTTTGTCAAGTTGAGAATATTACATGGCACAAACATCTAGCTAAGTAGTATTAGATGATCCCATTGTAAATCAATGAACATAAGTCATTTGAGCTTTGTATGACTTCACTTTCTTACTCATGCCGAGCAAATAAAACCACATTCAAAACATCCATTCTGAGGAAAAGTCTCATGGCAAATAAAGGTCAAGCTCATCTGATAGGCTACGCTATGAAACATAACCCCGGCGACCCCCAACCCCCCTTCATTAATTTCCTGAAGACTTACTATAACTCTAACAACAACCAACACTTTGCTAACCCCAAACTTATCTTCAACCTAACCTTAACCAATGAGCCAAACATCTGCTTTTTCACAATATGGCAACATAGGTTTTTTGAACATTCAAACAAACTGTCCTTAGTAAATGGTTCTTTAGTCTGAAATTCATCATAGAATGCAGAATATGACAGAGACACACTCGTTCCCACTCTCACTCATTCATATTTCTCTCTGTCAAGTTCCCCTTCTTGCACAAACAAACAAACACACAGCAGATGATCAAACATTCCAGCCATTGGTTGTAATAGACAAGTCTGGTGACTCATTGGGAACCTCGATCCATGATGTTGTCCCCCATGTGTTGTGACACAGCACATGAGGAAAATGGTATGAGCCCCTCCGCACAACCACATGCACACACGCACACTCACAACTATTATTTATCTGCCAAATCCTCTCATGTCCACTTTTTCCCTCTGATCTTTGGTAATGAGCTAAGGAGAAAAGAACAGGACAACATGAAATATTACAACAGACTTTCATTTTCCCTCATCATTCACAGTCATACATCTTTTTATCCTTTTAGTCTGTCCAAACAGTCCAAAGGTTAAAAAATAATTCTCCTTTGCCTCGCTTGTTATTTTCTATGACCCAAAACCAAATGTGCATACCACTATTGTCTCCAGTTTACTGATGGAGTAGATACAACGCACCGCTGGAAACATCTGCTCACCGCCCGCTTTAGCAGAAGACGCTTCAGTGGCTTGATTGCTTGATTGTTTATTATAAGGTTACGCAACATCAAATAGCATGCCTTTCAAATATGAAATGATTCACCAGTCCAATATGAAATATCATCATTTATGGAATGTGATGCAGCCTCTTCCAGACGCAACAAATAAGACGTTTTCTGCTCTTTCCCAAAGCTGGAAAAGCTATTGTAGGAATTAGGTTATCAATTCTTAAATATTTCCAGATTCCTCCTCCTGTTTCCCCCAAAAGGCAATGGAAGTCCGTTGCTCATTTACTTTTACTCCCGTTCCCAGCAAATGCCGCTTTTGTCTTTTATTTTGGTAGAGATTTGTGTATTAAGGAGTTCTGGATGACTTGCTGTGTATTATTCCACCCCAGGAGCTTTGAAGGTGCAAGGACTGGCTGCCCGTAAGGTCACCACAGGATCTCCCCTTAATAGTTGCAAGCTGTTGGCAGGATTTAGAGAGGCAGGGAGGAGAGGCAGCAGGAGTATGCCTTTGCAGAGGGTAGCCTGCCGAGACCCTTTTTGTAGGTCCCCTCCAGCCCCCCCTTTAGTTTGGAAGGAATTCCTTTCTTGGATGCTGGAAGCGGTACGCAGAGGGCACCGATTATATAGTTATACGGCTTGGCCTCTTTAAAACAACTATTTCTAAATGTGCCTGTATGTTTTTCTGTCTGTGCTGATGGTAGGGTTTTGGGTAAGTCCCCCAACCGTGTTTACAACTCGCAGTCTGGCACGAGTGTGCTCGCTACGTGACTCGCTATGTGGCACGATGGATGTTTGTGTCTTAGCTGATGGTCCGTGATAGCCACCCCTGACCGCTAACCTCTCCGTCTGTGTTTGTGACTCACGTAGACGAAGCCCTTTGCTCCTTTCTTGTCATTTGCTTTTCTGGCATTTTTGTCTGTTAGCAGATTTACATCTATTTTATTTATCACGCAAGTTATATTCCTTACACACTGCTCTTTTAGAGCCTGCACACTTACATAAATAGATGTGATAGAATATTGATCTGTGGTGAGTAATAGTCATTCTCCTAACGGCCTCTCGTTTTCCACCTTAACGTGTTCTACATCAAATATGCACATAACTGGATGCCAAAAAAGCAATCCCATCAAAAGCTCTTTATTTTTTAACAGTTTCAGGCAGTTAAGTTGACCATATTTCCTATTGCCAAGGCAATTAAAAGGGAGGAAGGGGCTGGGGCACAGATAGGAGCAGGCACTCTCACATACACATATTTCTTGGTCATGGCATGAAGAATTACTGTATATTCTTAAGCCACTGCAACATGACGCTTATGGCGAACCATTAAATAAGCAGCAGCCTGCCATCGTTTCCTTTATTCCCAACTTTTCTCAGGGTGTGGGTATAGTGGGGGCTGAGGACGGAGGGTGCAAAATGCATCTGAGAGTGAGGGGAAGGAAGGATAACAGGGTTTTTCTACACAAGTAAGCATAGGTAGTTACACATCGGGGGGGCGCCGGGGCGGGGGGAACTCCCCACAGTGTTTAGAGGTTGTGGCTGTTTGCTGATGCCAAGTGCTCGCACTAATTTTGCCAAACTCAGTTATGTGTTCTCAAGTTGCTCTTAACTCTCTCCCTAATAAGATCCTGGTTTGTTTTTCTCATTTATACATATATATTTCTCACACTTTGTTATGAGACTTTCACGTCTATGATTGATTTTAACCGGTCTGATGCACTGTGACCAAATGACAGCGCTGTCATGCAAGGGTGTTTGAAGACTGACTATAGGTGCATGCCCTGGTCAAGGCTCATCTCATGTTGTTCTCCTTTCATAAAACACACCGTATGTTTCCAGCTCCAGTTTTGATGGACATAAGTATATTAATTTATTTAAAATACACCTTAGAATTAAAAAGTGCAGCCTAAGTTTCTGACCAAACTGCTGCTCGTTATACACTCTAATAACCTCACTTACTTGCTAATGAATAGTGTGTTATGCATCTCTAGTTCAGCCAGTTCTCTTTTCCCCAGGCCTGTGCCCCTTACACCACCTTCTTTCCTGTAAGCACTGACTGACACGCACATACTTGCGCACACAGAAACCTAGAGAGGAACTCTGTGTTATTTTGACCTGTTCCTGAGATGGAAGGATGGGGCTCTGACGAGGTCTGTGTTCTTCAGAGGGGCTTTCATGTTGCTGTTAGCGGTTGTCCCCCCCCCCCAGCCCTCCTCTAGCCCTGGGACATGGGGCAGCGTGAGGGCCCCAAGGCCCACAAGGCCAACCAGTCCCATTTCCCAGCCACCCTGAGAGAACCCCAAGTCAGGGCCAGATGTGGCAGCTGGCCCAGCCACCCTGGAGGTCAAGGTCAAAGGAAACCATGTCAAACTTGCCACCCACCATCATTCTCTAGATAGAGAGATAAACAGAAGTGGCCTTGGAGTGAGTGAGGTGTGGGTGGGAGGTAGGAAGTGCACTGGGGAACTTTGCCAAAAGAGAGAGGAAGGATAAAGCAAGGTAATATAAGGAAGAGTCGCTGAAGGAGACAAGTGATGTTCTTGGCTGCAAAAAGCCACAGAGGAAACACTGTTCTCACGGTTGACAGCTGTTTCTGAAGTGTGTCCGGCCCTGGGCTTGTAAAGTCGTCACACGTAGGCCTCATTTTCTCAGAGGAGTCTGGGCACTGCCCACCTGGCCCTCACATTTTGAACCCCCCCCACCCCAAACACACTAACAACTTATTTTATACCCTTTTTCAAAGGGGAGCCTGCGTCACTGCTCCTCAGTGACAAGCATGCAAAATCTGTTTAACTTTTTAGCGCACAGAATATTCCTGTAGATGTAACAACAACCACAAGGGGACATTAAACAAGTTAAAAATAAGTTTAAAGGCCTGTGCCCCCTTTTCTGTATGTTTGTGAAAATCTGCCAAAACTGAAATCATTTAGCTTTAGCCGCAAACAATTCAAAATGAGGTTTCCATCAGTATTGAGCTACATTTTATACATTGAGTGGTAGTTAGTCACTCAGGAAGTTAGTCAACCTTAAAGAGCCTATGGTGTGAAAGTAGTGTTTACTTACCTGACTCACCTCCCACATAGTATTAGCTCTTGATGTAATCTATTGGATGGTATTACAGCAGCAGCTACTTCATATTCACATAATTGTGCCATGACCCTCCAGTGGAAACAGTTCAATCTGTGTTGGGTTTGTGGCTTGTAAATTGTCGTTACATTTCCCTTTTACACTAAAATCCACTGTGCAAAAGAAGCAATACCAGTTAACCCTAATAAGACAGAGAGACAATGGCCACAGGCAACCACAGATTGATCTGATAAGCCACCAGGACACAAGTGCAGACATGCCTTTGGTCCGCCGCCTGCCTTCCATGACTTAGACCACATGTGTTCCTTGTTTGGCCCGGAGAAGGGGTACACATTTTGCGTACCCAAACAGCTGAAGAAGGCCCCCTGAGAGGCGAGCCGAGGAGGCAGCAGCAGCTGGTGCCGGTGACGCATTGCCAACGTTATCCGGTGACGTAAAACGCCAGGGGCAACGGCCAATGATGTTCCAGTTCTTTTTTAAACCACAGTGTTTAACTTTGACACCAGACTATTAGAGAAACTGTGATATTGATTTTTCTGATGTTCTGATATTTTGATACGAATGGTCTTCGGTGCCAAGTACTACTGTAACTTTAAGTAGAATAGTATTGATCTGCTACTATAACAGCAGCACTAAGACTCCATATGTACCCAATACAAAATACACAACACTCTTAGTCTGATGAGAAACATCGCAATGATTTCAGAATTGTTTGATATTTGCAAATATTTGGTTATCTGCTATAATGAGCTAGCTTGATCGGAGTATTGCAGTTCGTGGCCACTTTGAAGATTATATAACAAGTGTTATAGAAGCACAAAAGGAAATATTAAACACATTGAAGAAAACTAATTTAAACATATCGGACTTTATTCCATGGGGGGCGACAAATCGATTGGTTTGCCTCATAATGTGTGCACTTTATTTTTTGTATTTCTTTGTATTATTTGTTTATGGTGGCAAATACAATATCAACAACAAAAAATACATATTTTATTGACCACGTCCCATTGAAAGTCAACATTATTTATTTGATGTTGATGGACACTTGGAATCTTGACTTTTAAAATTATTGCTGTGGCTTTGAACCTCTTTTGACCACCCATTATGCCTCTGTAATAGCTGCACTGAAAGGGCCAGTGGGATTTAGAGTTAAAGGCAATTACACTAAATGACTCTTTATCTCTCCTGCCCAGGTGATTCCTTTCCCCATGTCCTGCGACATACGGGATGAGTGCTCCTGTCGGGATCCCAACGCTATAGAGAACAGAAAGGATGAACACGTCCATTCCCTGGGGTGACCAACCAGAGCAGGGACCTCTGTTCAACGTCCCAGGAACCTTGCCTCAACACAACACAGCCAGAGCGGCCGAGGCAGACCCCTCCTTCATTCTCCTCTCGGCCTCCAATTTCCTGCACATGCTGCTTAACAGGCATACCTCTCCATCCATACTGCAACCCCAACCAGCTGAAATAAAACCGACGCCTCCACATCACAAGAAAGATCTTGAAAAAGAGGATGGGACTCACAAGACTTCACAGAAAACTTCATTTCTCCGCTAAAAAGGAAAGTAACCCTGCAATATCATCATCATAAAAAAAAAATACATATATAGCAAAGAGAAAAAAAAAGAAATTACATGAAGCAGACATTTTTTTTAAAGAATAAGAAAACAAAGAAAAAAAACTAAACAGAAACATAACCAAGCCTAGGTAGCATGCCTTTCGTTCAGTTTTGTGCCGGCTTCAGTGTCTGTTTTAGTGACCTCGCTCTACAATCACATGATTGAACCTAAGGTATAACTCAAAATGTGCAAGTTGGGGATAGTGTCGATGTTGACTTTGTGTTTTGCAAATATGAAGGAATGTTAAAAGAGAATCCTCGGACACTTTGAGGGCATGTTCAACACCTTTTCTTGGAGGGGCTAGAAGTTTGTGCTTATGTCAACCCTGGTTTCAAACTGCTCAGACACTCCATATCTCTTTGTCCATTTTCAGTAGTGTGATTGTTCATCGGCACGTTATTTCAAGCTTTGTGGGGAATGAGACAGCCATACATTGTTGGGCGAGACATTTCAGGTTAATAGGGTTCAAATGTTAACAAAAATATTAGCATGAAACTTGCCTATAATTGACACTCACAATAAGGCAAAGTTTTCCGGATATTTTTTTTTAATGTTAAAATAAGGCTTTTAAATGCACCAATTTGCATAAATGTCCAAAGCAGAAGATTGAATGCTTGATTCAGGTTGAAAATTCTTTATTCATTTTGTTAACACATTAGAGTTTAATATTTATACCAAGAATTTGGATTGCTGTTTTTTATTATTATTTATTGTTATAAATCTATAAATTAGAAAAAGAAAAGTTAAATAAAATTGGCTAAGAATCATTAAACCCTCTGCAAAAACGTTCACTATCTAGATATAAAGAAAACCGGAAAAGTTATTGAATTTCTCAAAGTTTGGGAAAATAGCCTTTACACACATGTATTTTAAAATTCCAAATTTTATTGGAAACCATTATTTACTGACATAATATGTCATACAAAGTAAATAACTATGTTTGGATCGGATAACATTGTGTAGGAGAGAGAGCTTTACAACAATACCTGTGATGATGCAGACAACAATCGTTCAATTTTGGTGAATTTAGGAGAAATTCACACACAAATAGTAAAAGTGTAGTAACATAAACAGCTTCATGTATCAAGTCAAGTTGTAGAAACAAAATATGCCAGAAGTTTGCATGAACATCTATTTGCCTGTAGTGTCTCGCCTCATGTTTCAAGCCACAGATTCAACACAAACACCAAAATAAAAAACACACATATACACACAAACAAAATGTTTAACCAACTGTCGGACACAATTCCCTTAGACATTTTAAATTCCAAAACCCTGAATGCGTAGTTTTTAGCATGGCTTCTGCTACTGTGTTTGCTGCTACTTGCCATTGTCACATCATGACATCTAATAGGGTCTGACGTCTAATAGGGATGTGGGCCTTGCTGCTTCTACAGTACCTCTCTATGGCATTCATTCACGCTTGCATGTTAGTGCATATTACGTTCTGCTCACATTAATAAGCGATGACAACACCACAGATGAAATGCACTAAGAACTTTAAAAAAGAAAAACACAGGACCTCACTTGTCATCCCCGTTTAACCCGACCGACCGAGGAAATCCTACACACATTGACCACGACTTAAAGAATGTCCATCCGTAACACCTCACTTTGGGTTGGGCTGATTTTAGTTTCAGTTTGAACTCACTCCCTCACGGTGGTCGATGAGAACTTCGTTACCTCGAGCACCGATTCAAATGGTTCAAACTGAAAATAAAATGATCCCAGCTGCGTTCAGAATGTAGTCAATGCTTGTCAGGAGTCTGTGGCTTTTTGCTTTTTTCTTTCTTTCGATTGAACAGTACAGTCAAACAGAAGTACAGAAATAAAGGGCTGGATCGAGGCCGTAGATCGAGGCCGTGGCTCTCAGTGAGAACGAGCATGGGTGGAAGGAGACCACATCTGAACACACACACATGCACACAACTCTCTCCCCTCCCAGTGGTGTCGGACTCTCAGCTCTGCAGCTCTAGCGGGCAACAATGTTGTACGCAAATAAAAATGACATTTGGATGTATATGTCAACGCAGCATTAGCAATCGCAATATGATCAAAGGAGATTCACTGTTCAACTTGTTAATGTCCCCGTCAAAAAAGGACACTTGGTTGTGATCAGCACTTTTCAGTATTGTGAACTTGGGTGTCCGCCCTCACCAGTTAACTTCATTAGGTTACATGGCTGCTACAACCGCTTTGTGTTTCTGTTATTCTTCACTCCACACACGCCAGTTTGTTCTCATGCACATCGGCTAATGAAGGCTGCTTGGCATATATTGGTCCAAATGTTGTTGCTCCCATTTGACCGTGGCGTCAATGACGCCAGCGGCCGTTGTTATGATCAGCGCGATTCAAACTTTTCATTTTCATCTGGGTCACTGGCGTGGTCCCTCCGACTCATATTAGGCTGCTAAAGCGTTCCAGACCATTCCCATAACGATCGAACACATCGAGCTGTACAAGTGGTGATGTAAGACCAAGATCATTGTTGTTTTTTTTTAACCAATGTCAGTGAAGGACTGAGACAATACCACAACATGCAGAGAAAGTGAAAAAAGGTATTATTTTCCACCGAATACAACAAAAAATATCATGTAAATATTGCTACATGTTCTTGATGGATGGGAGCATTGCAAAATGGTTTAGTTATTTTTTTGTTTTCATGCATTTCTTTTTTTTTTTTTTTTACAAAATGTCATATTTAATCAGTGTTTGTATTATTGACCTCAGTTACTGCACTTTTTAGTTGCCATGTAAGAAGAAAAAAAAAGTATATCTTTCAAAAATGTTTAGAAGCTGCTATTGTCAGAATGGTGATCTGAATCAAACTGTATGATATTCAGTCATTTGACTCCCTGTGTTGCTATAACCCTTCCTGTCATTAGTGTTTTAGTTGTATCTGACCTTAGATTCTCCTCCTGACCATGTTATCAATGAAGTAGAGTCACCAAATCCCCAAATCTTACAAAATAGGGTACACACCAATGCATTATCTGTAGAAGGTATATTGTATATTGAAAGTATATTGTCACATATTTAAGGTCTAGCTAGATTGGTGGTCTTTTGTTTTGCCCTCATGTTTGTGTCACACATCCTTAAGGTTAAGGTGTACATTTTGCAGAAACCTACAAATGCCGAAGGTGAAGGAAAAACGTAAATGAAGAAAATTCCCGCTCAAAGGGACTGTTGAAAGACTTTTTTATGAAATATGAAACTTTGTAAGGACGTTCTAAAGACTACATCATCTTCATTGCATTTAAAACTTTATATGAAAAATATATAGCCCTGGTTTAAAAAGAAAAATAACTAAAAAAAAGAGACTTGTATTATGTTGATATTATCAAATTATATATATTAGTACTCCAGATACTGCTGCTTTTACATAGAACTGTCACCAGTGGGGAGAGACTGACCTGCAATCACTACACCACGCCAGTGACATGCAGTACTGCAGTTCATCATCTGCCATTGAGGTCACTGGGAAGCCATTCCAGCCATTCGATGAATCCCAAAATCTGTCATTGGATCTTTCCCGTGACTCGTGAACGCGACCTGTCGCTTCCACGTTCTCCGACTAACCCATATCCTCCTCTTGTCATCAGCCAATATCTGGACACCAATACGACTCTATCACGATCAGAAAGGCTACAGAACGTGACTGCACGTCAACTTGAACATTTAGATATCGGAGAGGGTACCCATAAGCCATAGTTAACCGAGATATTCATGGAAGAAAGTATAAGATTGCGCATTGGATGAGGACATCGCCTCTCTACTGTAGTCTTCACAGGATCCCTTGCTGTACCTCATGCCTGTAATGTTTGCTGCTTCTATATTTTTGGTATTTTAGTGACATTTTTGCGTCTCATAACGATGGTGTAAATAGTAGAACTATTTATTGAGAGTGTTATACTTTTTTAAGTTATATTTAATGTCCATGTAAGTTATTTTTTACATTGTTCTTATAAACAGAAACATTATCGGTTGTGAGTCAAAGGTTGTCGTTTTGTCTGTCATCAGTTGGGATCACTGCCGTCGAGCATTGATCGGACACACAGTACACTCCTAGCCCACAACCATGAAATCCCATTGGTCATTAAGTGTAGATGGACGCTGCTCACATCCAATGAGGATTCATCACGTTTAATTATTACAGAGTGCAGTGTATCTTCTTTCTCTTTAAAACCAGAATGTAAAGTTCCTTTTTTTATTTCTCTTTTTGCTTTTTTTTTAAATGCAATCATTAGCCATACATACAAGCAGTTGTGAAAAAAGAACCAAGTATATAATGGTCAAGTACATAAATCCATAATATAGCAAAACAATGTTTTCAGAGCCTATGTACGGCACAAGGAATATTTGTACACAGCTGGCTGAGGGCAGGAGAAAAATGGGCAAGTGGCAAAGAGAGGGATGAGTAAAAAATTGAAGTGAAAGACGGAGTGGAGGTCAAGAGGCAGCCGATGGTGCCCCAGATGGAGCGATCTCAGAGGGTAGGGGGAGTGGACGGTGGGCAGGGAGAGAGGTGCGGGGATGGGTGGGCTGCTTTTCCTGGCCTGTCGAGCTATTTGTCCAGGTGTGAAAATGTATACTCACAGAGGCTGCTCCTGGGCCAGGGGTGGCCGGCGCTGACTGGCAACAAGCCGAGCGCGGTGAGTCAGAGTTTCTCCGAGGGGGTGGCAGCCATCCCTACCTCTCTCTCTCTCCCTGGGACTCCCACCACCCATCTCTCCCTCACTCCCTCCTCCCACTGCCTCCTACACCTCCACCTCCCCACTCCCTCAGCACACTGCCTCATCTGTCACTGTCAGGTATGCTTGCGCAGGGCCACCAGGGTCAAGCTGGCCCTGTGAAAATGAGAGAGGATGTTTGCCCAGCTTATGGAGCCTTTTGAAGTTAGGCTGAAGGAACACAGTTCTTCTCCCCTCATAGAGCCCATGCTTATCATATCATATAATATGATTTGTACGGCAGTTTTTATGACGTGGCTTTGATAGTAGTCAAACTCCTTTGATTCTAATTTAACACCGAGGTTGTTGAATCACTCGTCTAGAAATGGACGAAAAACTGTGCAGTGCCGGAGTCATTACAAAGCGACAGGAGAGCGCAAGAACGAGTGTCAGAGTCCCTAATGTTTCCGCTCAGATCAATGTGGAGAAAAATACTGATGTGCCATCTCGTTGTAAGACATTTTCTTTGTGTATTGTACCACATGAAGTACCTCTCACAGGCCTCTGGTTATAGAATGGTCCACTTATGTCTGTTTCCTAATCCCTCAATAAATTAAAAAAAGGTGAATTGTCCTTTTTTCTAAGTGGGAAGTACAAAAAAAAGTGTATTTACATATTATGTTGATAACTAGTGGTATTACTGCAATGTTTCGTACCTGATTGCTCAACAAATATATTTTAAGATGTAAATAATAATATTACATGATGATTGTATTTG